GATGTACATATAGTATTGAAGCTCTGGAAGAATAGATTTGGTCTGGTCAGTGGTGAGCTGAGAAGCTACCAAGACCCATCTAATGCCCAGTTTCTCGAGTCTATCTGCAGAAGTAAAGTACTTACAGAGCTATGAAGGTTATCACATGGGTGACAAGTCAACTTGGACATGGACGAGCATCAAGATGAGGACTTTGTAAAGTCCATAGGAACCTTCAAAGCTTTCATTGGTCAGGGGTCAGAAACTGAGCAACAATTCACCCTCAGTCATTGAACACAGGTTCTCCAAACAGTAGACAGAAAACGACGCCAAAGCCAGTTCCTCCAACACAACTGATGAGTCAGAGCCCACAACCAACATCCAAATCTGGCTTGCTGATAGTGGCAGACTGGTACAGAAATTTATCCTTAATCACAGGATCACCAATATCCAGCTTTTCATTGTCAACACCCAGCCATCGATGACAGCCATGAACTTTGTCCTTATGACCACCTTTCTGAAAAGAATTGGCTGATAAGAGCCAGACATTGAAGAAGGCCAATCTGCTTAACGCTATTATTGTCCAGTGGTTAATATAACACCTGTCCTCTTCCCCCTTACCACTTCCCCCCTTACTGCTCCCATTCTTTCTTTTTCCCCATTTCTGTCCATAGCTACCTGCTGCATGCATGCATCAATCTGCCCTATGTGTGCACTGTGCTCCCCTTAGCTCTAGGTTCTTAGATCTTGATTGGACATTTTGTTTTATCTTTAGTTGCATTTACTAGGTTTTTGTGATGATCAGTAAACTTTTAAAAAAATTAATAAAAACAAGCAATTTAAAAAAAACTGGAAGGCAATCTAGCAGAAACTAGTTATAGATCAAAATTTCACACCATATGTTAAGATAAGCTCCAAACAGGTACTTACACATAAAGGATGACATTAAAGACAAATTAGAAGATCAGGGAAGAAATTACTCTGATCTATGGATAGGGAAGAGTTCATGACCAAACAAGATTAGAGAATAACACACAAAAAATAAAATGAATAATTTTGATTATATAAAACTAATAAGTTTTTGTACAAATAAAGCCAAAAGAATTAAAATTAGGAGTGATGCAGGTGGGGGCAATTGCAGCAAGTTTCTTATAAAGGTTGGCTATCCAAGGTATATACGGAAATAATTCAAATTTATAAGAATAAGAACCATTCCCCAACTAACAACTGGTCCTAGGATATAAATTGGCAATTTTCAAAAGAATAAATATTTCCAAGGTAACAACAGGCATATGAAAGCTACTACAAATCATTAATGGGAAATGCAAATTAAAACAATTCTGAGGTTACATCTTACATGTTGGAGTTTGACAAAGTTGACTAAAAAGTAAAAAGGTGAATGATAAATATTGGAGAATTTGTGGGGAAACCAGCACATCAGTGCATTATTGGTGGAGCACTGAAACTGGTCCAATTCTGAAAAGCAATTTGGAACTATGTCTCAAAAGATATTAAACTGTATCTTTTAACCTAGAGATACCATTACTAGGCTTACATCTGAAAGAGATCAAAGAAAGACAAAAAGAAACCTTATGTAGAAAAACATTTTTATATTTATTATTATACATGTTGTAGCATCAAAGAACGGAAAATAAAAGGGGTGCTCATCAATTGGGGAATGGCTAAACCAATTATGGTATACGAATATAACAAAATACTATTGTGCCTAAAAAATTATGAAAAGACAAGTCTGAATCAGTGAAACCTTGGAATACTTATATGAACTGATGCAGAGTGAAGTGAGCAGAGCTGGAAGAACACTTTATACAATAAAATCCTTATAAAAACAAACAATTTTGAAAGATTTAAGAACTTTGATCAATACAATGACCATTTTTTAAGAGTACCAATGATGAAGCATGCTACACTTCCTGAATGAGAGGTGATGGATTTGGGGTACAGAATGAGACATATATTTTTTGGACACAGCCAATGCAAAAATTTGTTTTTTCTTTACTATGCATCTTTGTAACAAGAGTCCCCCCCACCCACCCAGTGGTGGTGGGTGAGGTGGGGAAAGGGAGGAAAATTTAACTTAACAAAAAGATAAGAAAAAGAAATTAAGTAAATAAGCAAGAGTAAACAAAATTTTTACTTTTCAAAATTATGATTTGCTTAGAGAATCAATAAAAAATCAATTGAAATAATAACTTCTACAAAGGTAACAAGACATCATAAACTGACATAAATCATCACTATTTTTATATATTAGCAACAAAACTCAGCAGGGCGAAATAGGAAGAGAAATTCCACTTAAATTAACTACACACTATATAAAATACTTGGAAGTCGATTTGCTAAGACACATAGGAACTATATAAATAAAACTACAAAAACACTTATGGGAATAAACACAGTCCTAAATAATTGGAGATTTATCAACTGCTCATGAGTGGATCAATCCAATATACTACCTAAATTGATTTTCTTATTCAGAGCCACAGAAATCAACCTACTAAAGGATTACTTTATAGAGCTATAAAAATAATAACAAAATCATCTAGAAGAGCAAAAGGTTAAGATTTTCAGGGGAAACAATGAAAAAAAAGTAGAAAAGAATAGCAATAGAAAAGTAGCAATAATGTTCTTAAATTATACTATAAATATACTACATGTATGTGCACATATATGTATATACTACAAATGATCAAAATGATTTGGTACTAATTAGAAATGGACAGGTTGATCAGTGGAATAGATGAAATACACAAAATACAGAAACAAATGAACTCAGCAGTCTAGTGCTCAAAAAACCCAAAGACACCAACTAGTGGGTTAAGAATTCACTATTCAACAAAAACTGCTGGAAAAAATGGATATCAACTTGGCAGAAACGAAGTTTAGATCAAGGACTCAGAATACATACCAAGATAAGGTCCAAATGGATACATGAACTAGATATAAAAGGTTACATTACAAATTTGAGGAGCAGGGAAGAAAATATCTTTTGCAACTATGAATAGGGAACGAGTTCATAACACAAAGGATAGAGAACATCACAGGAGCTAAAATATACATTTTGTTTATATAAAACTGAGAAATTTTTGCATAAACAAAATAGTTAAAATTAGAAGGGAAACAGTTAATTGAGGGAAAAAAAATCTTTAACATGTTCCTTTGATAAAAAAAAAGATCTAATATCTAATATATATAAGGAACTGATTCAAACACCTAAGAACAACAGCCATTTCCTTCACAACTAGTAAGCACCAGAGCTGGCATTTGAACTTAGATCTTCTTGTGTGTACCATAAAAGACAAGCACACAAATACACTGTTGACGGAGCTGTGAACTGGTTCAATCTTTCTTGACATTTAGAATTAAGTAAGAAAAATCACTAAGTGACAGCAATCCCACTACATGGAGGTCAAAGTCAGAAAAAATGGTTCAACATATACCAAAATATTTATAGCACTGCTTTTTTTTTCAGTAAAGAACAGGAAATAAAATATGAATTTGAGAATGGCTGAAAAAAAATAGAGCAAGTGAATGGTATGGAATACTATCATGTAGAAATGACAACTATGAATAATTTGAATTGATGTAAGTTAAAATAAATAGAACCAAAAGGTCAAAACACGCAATAAATACAGCATTTATTATGTACTTACTATATGCAAAGACCTGTGGACACAAATAGAAAAGTAAGAGAGCCTTTCTCTCAAGGAGGTTATATTCTAATGAGGGAGATAATACAGGTGGATGGTTTCAGCCGCAGGCCAGATATAAAGGTCCCACCCATGGTCCTTAGGGTACAGCTTTGGTGATATCACTTCTTTAATGTTATTTCCACTGATAAAATCATATCAGTTGCTGATGTGGAACCACAGGATAGTATTTGACAACTTGACAATGACTATAACAATATAAATGAAAAGGTCACTTAAAGTAAGCCAAACTCTGAGTAATTGAAAAAATAATGGTCCTAGAGAAGAGATGGTAAAACACATAACCTTCCTCACAGTAAAGAAATAAGGCTACCAGGGTAAAATGCACTATCAGGTGCTTTTGCTTAACTGTTTTTCTTTTTCAATCTAGAGGGAGAGTATTTCCAGAAATAACTAGAATGTAAAAGGCTTCGATAAAATTTTTAAATGAACTTCAGGAATTAGAGCAAAGATAAATAAGGGAAAATTTAGGGGGAAAATACACAAGTGAAACTGATATCAAAACGAAATCACAGATCAAAAAATTAATATAAAGAGTCTACCCAGAAAGTCTAAAGTTTAGTAGAAGGGGAAAAAATTGAAAACCATGAATCAAATACAACAATAAATGAAATGGAACTCTGGAAATAAATGAGCTTGCATAAGTTACATGAAAAAAATTTAAGAGAAAAAATTATCAGTGTAATCATAACCATGTCTTTCAAAGAGAGAGTAGGCTATGCTTTCTTTAATAGAGAAAGGTAATTTCAGATTTTTATAAAAGCATTAATGAAAATATAATACCCTTTTAAAATCATTCAATTTCCCTTTCTTTAGTTTTATAGTCACCAAGCAACTTTAGGATCTTAATTGGATTTAGGTTTCCTCTAGTGAGAAGGGAATATGCAGATTTAGTCATATGAACATGGTTCATTAACTAAAAATTGATAAACAGATATCCTAGTTCACAAATCAAATTTCCTGCTTATTCATGTAGCATAAGTTAGTTCATTTAGGACTAATCTAGGGATTCTTAACCTTTTTTGTCATGGACTACTTCATTAGTCCAGGGAAGCCTATGGACACTTCTCAGAATTATGTTTTTAAATGCATAAAATAAAATAGGATTACAAAAGAAACCAATTATATTCAAATACATTTATCAACATATTTTTGAAAGTTCACAGATCCCAGATTAATAATCCTTGGCTTAACCAATCCTGGAGGCATTAACAACTGAGTTCTTAGCCTATAAAAAGAAAAAAAAATGAAAGAGAAGTCACCAACATCTCAAGGCCTAAAGAATTACACAGGAGAATGAATATTTGCTGATGTTTTAATATAAGAATATTTAAAAATCTATTATTTTGAAAACATTCTCACACTAGACAAAATTAAAAAATAGATATAGTAGAAAATAACAATATTATCACAAATGGCATTCTACAGTATTAGTGCTTCCTTCTATCCCCCAAGCACTTCTTACATGCAAAATGGGAGTTAAAGCCAGTACTTAACACCACTTTGGGCATAAAAACCCTATTTTTGTCTTCCTTACAAATATTCTAAAAGCAGAGCATACTAACAAGCATATGCACTTCTCTGCATGTTTCAAGAAAAAAAGGATGCTCAAAGAGATAGATGAAATAAATGCTAACAGAAGTATCTATAGAAAATGACAAGCCCCAAAGAAAAGCACACAACTGTACTAATAGCTCTTAAAATGGTAAATATGATAGAAATGTGGATTATTAAAAGATATTTCCTTCCACTACTAGAGGATATGGTACAGATTTTATTTTAAGGCTGTAGCCATGATGTATCAAACATAAAGGAAGAGAAAGACTAAAAATGTTAACTAAAAGTAAATCTATTTTCAAATGGTAATGATAACACTTATATTTTAGAATTAGTTTTCATTTTTCACCTGTGTTTTTGGCATTGTGGAGATAAAGCCTGACTAGAGCTGCCTCTTCTCTCACGCCATAGAATTTCTCTGAGTAACAAAAATATAGTACAGCATTTGCTTTGTTCTTTTTCTCCAGTAGGATCTTCTCCCCAGCTCTTGGTATCTTCTGGTACAATCTGTCCTGTTTCTAGTACAGACTCCTACTCAACAACTGTGGAATAAATCTCCTCTGGCTGTGGCACTGTAAAACTCTGTGTCCTCTTTTCTCTATCAAAACGTTCAAAGTCTTGGAGGTGGAAATGGGCGGCTAATTGGTTTGCCATTTTCTTCAAGGCAAGAAATGCTACAACAACTTGGAAAGCAAGGAAGACGGTGAAGATGATGTTGACTGCTCGCTCTAGGGGCTGAATCGTCAGACCTTCATTAAAGAGCAAGAAGAGAATGAGGGGCAGCTGCAGCAGAAGACTCAAGAGCCAAAAGCCTGCCAACTCAGGAACCTGCAGGAGTGAAAATACTGTTAACAAGGCCTCTATTATTTCAATAAGGCTATCGCCACAATGAGTCAATAAGTGCTTCTTTAGAACCTGCTCTGGGCCTGGCACCGTTAGGCAAGATGGAGGATAAAAAGCAGTAAAGAAAGGGAACTTGCCCTAAAGGAACTGACGAGTCATTTGGGAATTTAAAGCTAAGGAAACTGAACAATGTGAGAAGACTCAAAACAGCACAGAAGTTAAAATAAATCTATATCCAATAGTAATAGAATCACAAAGAGGAAGGAATATAGCAGGAAAAGCAGCAGATTCAGTAAAGGCCTTGCTGCCTACACTTAGCAACTGTGATCATGGGCAGGTCATTTAACCTGAGCCTCACTTTTCTCATCCATAAATGCTGATAATAATACTTTATAGGACTTGTGCAAGGATCAAATAAGCTATTTTATGTAGATGACTTTGTCAAACTTAAATTGTTTTATAAATGTCCAATATTATTTTTTTTTATGGGACAGAAAGTATTTACCTAGAATGAGCCAGCGTACAATCTATACATATAACCAGGGAAAAATTGATGAGATTTTTTTCTCTTCCTTTTTCGACTCAGGTTCCAAAGATTCCATTTGGTGTAGAAATAATGTTTTATTGGCAAAGTGGAAAGTCTAACTGCATTCAAATATAGCACTGGTTATAAGACTAACAGTAGGAAACAGGATCTTACCTTCTCCTGTAGGTTGCCCATATATCCTAAATACAACCGGATGGCCTCAATTAAGGTTATGAGTATAACGACGGTGACTAGAATGAATTTATAATAATCAGGCAAGATGGGATACTGCAGACAAAGCCAAAATGAGAACATGTTACAATTATTTCACATCATCCTGGCAGCAAGGCTACAGCTGACTCATAGAAGCCCATGACATTCCAGGTTAGAATAAAGGATGCGGACTTTTATCTTGTTGACAACATGATAACATAAGAGAAACGCATGAGAAAGTTAGGCATAAGCAATCAGATTTTATACTCACCTTCAGCTGGAGCATGATGATATTACACACCCACCAAAATGGAAAGAAGTAGATGTTGAAATAAAGAGACATCTGTAATGCCAAACTGGAGACTATTTCATTATCTGAAGGGGAAAGGAAGAAAAAAGTAGCAAAAAAAACCCCAAACAAACAAACAAAAAAAAAAACCCAAACAACTCTCAATCATAATATTCCAGAAACTATTTCAGAAATATCCTTTTCACTTCTCAAAATTCACATTATTAACACAAGCAATGCTAGGTTAGCTCCTGATTTGCAGGTTAAAGTCTAAAGAGTTTCCTGGGGCACTGAGAGTTTAGGATGATGACTTGCCCCAGGTCACAAAGCTAGTATTTGTCAGAGGTAGGACTTGAACCCAGGTCCTCCTGATTCTAAGCCTGGCTCCATATCTTCTATACCACAGTGGATTTCCATAATGGAACCTTTTAAATAATTATAATTATATATAAATTATATATATAAATATATAATTATATAAAAATAATTATAAACAATACTTTTCTTCTATTCTTAACAATAAAATATTTTCTGAACTTTAGTTCTTGAAAAAAATCCATGTATTAATGACATTAAGTGCCTTAAGATGTTAAAACTACTATGAGATAAATCAACAAGCTTATCTAATCCCTTTTAGGGCCTGCATGGTAGTTGCTAGGATGTATATACATGGTGCTAAAAATCTCTGATGAGAAAAACTTAGAGATATAGATTTAAAAAATCAAATATTGATTTCTTCGGGTACTGAAAGCAGAAAATGTCAAAAGTGTTGTTTTCCAGTTAAAATGAAGAATTAAATGGTATTAAATTGATAGAGCAGAAATGATGCAAGAAAAAACCAGTTTTAGGGTTGGAAGGTAGATGCTATTATTATCCCCACTTTTTGGTTGAGAAAGGGCAGCTAGGGGGCACAGTGGACAGAGTACTGGGCCTGGAGTCAGGAAGACTCATCTTTTTGAGTTTCAATCCAGCACTTCCTAGCCTTGCGACCCTGGTCAAGTCATTTAACCCAGTCAGTCTATCTCAGTTTCCTCATCTGTAAAATGGGCTGGAGAAGGGAACGGCAAACCACTCCAGTATCTTTGCCAAAAAAAAACCCAAATGGGGTCACGAAGAGTCAGACAGGACCGAACAGTAAGGTTGAGGAGACTGAGGCAGGCAGAGAATTCCAGTCTTCCAGGCTCCAGGCTCGGGGCTCTATCCCCTGCGGCCACCTTCTGAACTTGATCTCTAAGGTATCAGCATGCTCCCCCCCCCCCCAAGACCACACACCCTAAGGTATGCATGAAAATAAGGAGAGCGACCTAGAAGGGCCAACTACAGAGCTGAGAATCTTTAAGACGTGAGATTTTTCTTTTCTTTTCTTTTCTTTTTGGCTCATCCCTATGTTTAATCTGTGCAGGGGCTTCCTCCAGGGATCTGTGTTCATGCAACTAGTCGGTAACCTCTAGTCTTAAAAAAAGGCTGGCAGGGAGCGCTGAGCACACAGTTTGAACTTGAACTTGAACCTGGAAGTCTTTTTCCCCCTCCCTCTTAAGGTCCTGGAGGGGTGGGGGTCGGGTACCACTAGACTATATCTACCATAGGGCATCATTAATTAATTGATTGATTGATCGTTCACTCCTTTCCCAGTAAGGGGACCTCAGGTAGTCCCAAGCACCATTACCAGCAGACCGGGAAGGGTTCTAGCGGGAAGGACCCCTCCCTCCCCACCCCGCCAGACCCCACGGAAGACCGAGCCGCCATGTTAAGTGTGGGCAAGATCTCAACGTCATTTCCCGCCCCCTTCTCCCCACCCACTGTCCACAGCCCCTTTTCCCAAGGCTCTCGCCACTCACCGGGGTTGCCGTTGTATTCCGGGCCGGTCCGGTTTGTGTCGGTAAATACTGTCCTGCTGAAGTTTACCAGCCGCTGCCGGACGGGATCGGGCAGCTCCATGGCTTCGCCCTAGGGGCCCTGAAACCCACCCACCCTAGCTCCCAGTGGAGCCCTCGCCTCCACCCTTCCCCCACCCCAACAGGCGGTGGTTCCTATGGCAACCCTGGCGGGGCGGGGCCACAGGCCTGACCCAGGCGCCTGCGCGTTTAGGGTGCGCCCTTCCCCTGGGCCCGACTGAGAAGGGCGGGTGGCCTCAGGATTAGTGTTAACTGTTGTGAGAGGTCCGCTAGTCCTGTGTCTTTGCTTTACAGATAGGGAAACTGAGGTCCAGAGACGTGATCCTCTCGCAGGCCCTAAGTTTAGCCACTGGCGAGATAAGAGAGGCCTTGGGTCGGTCCCGGAGGCCTGTGCAGCAGCCAATTTCACTCCCTCACCAAATGCTCCCTGTTCTGCCCTGCGGGGGTGGGGGTAGCGAACTGCAGTCCAATACTGCCTTCTAAAAACCAAGGTGGCAGGCCTTGGAATAAACCTTCTTAGCAGAGCCAGATTCCTGGAAGGCACGAAGGGGCGGGGAGGAGGAGGGGGTGGGACGCGCCCGTACCCCTCCTCCCCCATGCTCCATCCTTCTGGCCTGGAGAAGCAGCAGGCTGACAGGCCCCATGGCGCACAGGCCTCTGGGAGATCCGGGACCCACCAGGGATGGCGCCCTGGGGAGTGTACTGGAATAATGGTGTGAAAATAAAAGGATTGAACAAAAACCTGGCAATGGGGGGGAAGTTATTATTGCAGTCAGTCGACAAGAATTTATTAAGCACCTACTATGTGCCAGGCCCTAGTCTAAGCCCTGGGGATAGGAGTAATTCAAAAAGCTTGGAAATGTTTTTAATCATAAGACCTCACTACAGAAAGAATAAGAAAATGATGGGGGAAAGAGAAGGGGAAACGTTTGCCCATGTGTTTCCAGAAGGGTCAATGACCCTACCAAATTAAATTTCCTGCTTTCCTATGCCAATGTTGCTGTCCAGAGGGGGTAATTACTGCCTTCCAGTACTCTTAATATTTTAGGGGGAAATTGTATTACAATAATTAATAAGAATTATGTTTGCAAAACATTTTGAGGTATAAAAGAACTGTTTACCAAAATTTTATTTTCACTGTCTTTTGAGGCCACTGTCAGATCTTTCTCTTTATTTGCCTATTATTATGCTGTATTAGCCTATATGTTAATAAATTTTAATGTTACTCTAAAACAAGGATTCCTGACCTTTTTGTGTAATGGACCTTTTAGCATTCTGGTGGCCTATGAAACCCTTTTTTAAATGCTTAAAATAAAATATATAAGATTAACATTTGACTTATCGGGCCATTTCCATGAGTCTCTCATTGACAGAGATTGGCTCCTCTGGCTTCTAGCTTTGAGAAAGAAGATACGCAATTCCAAACCATCTTCAAGTCCATGAAGGGAAAAAGATTCTAGAAAAATCTAGTAGAACTTCAATCATATCTCTATTTCCATCTTACTACACTAGAGACTTTATAGAATTTCCCCTTGGGTATGATCTGCCTCTCTCTTGGTTGAACTCAGTTACTTATATGGCTCCCAAAGAAAGTGCTCATTCAATCTATATTTTATGGCATATATTCTCTTATGTTTACTTCCTCTGATTTCTGTTTGGATATCAAGTTGGATAAATGGGTTTATATGCTGTTTGTTCATTATGGGACTGGCATTTGGTGGAAAGAGAGTCAAGCCTTGTTTATAAAGCTTGAGGCCCTACTTTCACAATTAATGAATGGTTATCAGGATCTTACCTTAAGCCTAAAAATTGCTTCCTCTAAATTAATATTATTCATTAGTTTATTAATATAATTTAGTCTACTTATATATTGAGGGAGGGGAAGACACTAGAAATTTCTATTTCTGCCTTCCATGGAAACATATCTAGGCAGAACTATGTGGGCATATATAACCTACATGGGAAAAAAAAATAGCACTCCACCCGACATCTTACAATATGTAAGACAGTAACCAAAATATTTTTAAAAACCAGATTTACAGACCAGATTAAAAAATCCTGCTCTAAAAGTATAACTGGCTTTAAATTTCAAATATTATTTAGATTATTTGGTATAATGAAAATACCAATACTAAGAGGCAGTATGTAGTGGATAAAATCTTTTTTCCCCCTGGGGAAGCAATGTGGTACAGTAGGTAAATATTGTCAGCTGGACTGAACTGGCCTCTAACCTGTGGATGGCCAGAGTTGAACAGAGCAAGTTAGAGACAGGATAGTCAGGAATAAAACAAGTTTAATTTCAAAGTGAGGGAAATAGCTTGCAAGCAAGGTAGGAAAATAGACATATTTGCCACAACCCCCTCTACCCCACCCTCCCGTGGGAGAAACCGCTTTAGTGTGGCTAAACCTTGATTTATGTATTTGTGGCTAGACAAAGGCAAACCGTATAGCACAGCAATGGTAGTGAGATATAACAGCAACAGTGAGGCAAGGTTTTCTAGTGATAAAGAGTCCATTCATAGCAGGGCTTCAAGTCTGGCTTGCTGGTGCTTGTCAGAGCTCAAGGACCATCAGTTCTGTGATTTAATTGTAGCAGTGTTCATCCAGAGGGTGAGGACTGTTGTTATGCCAAGCTCAGGAAATAGCTTGGTTGCTGGGCCTTAGCTCTGGAAAACAAGGTGTCTCCTAATAGTATCTTGATGGTGTATGTCAGAGGGCATTGGTTTAGATCCCAGCTCTGTTGTTAGGAAGCTAGGTGGTGTAGTGAAGAAAGCACGGGACTTGGAGGAAGGAAGATCTGAATTCAAATCCTGTCCCAAATACTAACTAGCTGTGTGATCTTGAGGAAATTAACTTCTCTCAGTTTCCTCATCTATAAAGGGGGGATAATAATAGGGTTTACCTTCTAAGGTTATTGTGAGGACAAAATGAAATAGTATTTGTAAAGTGCTTCACAAATGAAAGGGCTGTGTAAACGCTACCTATTATTATTCTTACTACTTGAATGACTGGTCAAGTCACTTAGAGTCTCAGCATTTCAGTTTCTCATCTATAAAATGAGAAGATTGGACTAAATTGCCTCAATGATCCCCTTCCAGCTCCGAAACTGTGACTTCCCAATTCATTACTATAGAGATAATGCTAAAATTAAGACTAACACTTTTAAATTCATATTTTTAAGTTAATTGAAGGGTAACATTAAAGTGTGACTATATCTCCCAACTATAACTATAAAATGGACTGTTAAACATTTTGTAGAATCTTGGTCAGTTTTGGAAATAATTTGAATAGATTTAGTAAAATGCCTTTAAATATTATTCACATCATACACATTGTAATGGCTTTCATTCATCTTGAGTTGCCTCAAAATATTTTCTTCAAAGTAGCAAGAGATAATTACCAATGCTTTAAATCACTGGCAAAATATTTGCTATTCACAACCCTATACAAAGACTTGTTAAGTCAGGTTATGAATTATAGACACAGTCAAACCACATCAGAATAAAAATCTTTTTCACACCACATTGGGTGGTTTAAGAACCTCTTTAATGATTTGATTTGAAAGACTTTCCCATTGAACATTTTATTAGAAAATTATTCCCTTTAAAATGTTTTGTGTTGTAAGTTCTATGATCTGTAGTATATTCTTGCACCTACCTACCATGCTGTTCACTTTCTGTATCAATTGGTCGCTAAGCTTTTGCTGTGTATCACACTATGTGAAAAATAGCACTAGAACAAAAAAGATCAATAGAGTGCTTTTTAAAAAAAGTTTAGTTTTGTCAAATGAATTATGAGTCTAATTCCAGCAAATTAATCTTAATAAGTAATATTTTTATTGTGAGTAGTATTTTCACAACTACCAATATTGTTACTGTGCTCTGTGAATTGTAGACTGTATTATTTTATATAGAATGTTACCTTTTCTTTCACTTTTTGTTGAAAGTAATTAAATTTGGTTTTTCCTCTATAGATTTTGCTTCTTTGTGTATTTAACACTAGGTCTTTGTATCTTAAATAGTATGTTTTGCAATGCACAAACATCTTAAATGTTGATTACCAGCCACATGTGAAAGATTTATAAGCAGAAACCTGAGGGATCATCATACTAGGATAAAATGTTTACAGATATGAGATAGGCTTAAAATAATATATATTGTTTAGTATAGTTTACCCTGATCATTTTAAGTCTCCGACTTGTTCTGAAAATTAATTTGCTATGGAAAATGGAAAGTTATTACAACATTTGTCTCACTTCAACTTTCTCCTATGTGGCATATACAGACCTGTCCAGATAGTCTGATTCATTATACTATAAAAAAGCCATGATTAGAAGAAACTACATCAAATACAAATTTTGATTATATATCATGTCAAAGGACTTAGCTTCAATCTATCCACATGTAAGCAACAGGTAAAACAAAGTTACTCAAAAATCGGCCTTTGAGTTCAAAATTAGAAAGCTATTGGATCTCTGTTTCAACACTAAGTTGGTAGACACTGGCTGTGCTCCCAGACTGATGCTCCTGGGGGCTCTGGCAGATAAGACCAAGCTATAAACACCAGATGTAGTATCTAATAAAATCAAATATCAGCATTTCTGAAACATGGTCTTTTTTTAAACAGAGCCGGCAGCTGATATTTTCACCTGGACTATTGTTACTGCACTCTGAAACAAAATTGTTTTATCCTGCTTTTTTTGTGTTGCATCACAGCCTTAGGAATCATATCTTACCAGTAGCAGTATGCTATTTAAATCATTCACAGCTCAGCACATTCTTCAATATATACCTCCTTTGAAGATTAAAAAATAGATCAAATACACATAGAGGGACTGTGTATGCAAGAGATGAGTACTGAGATTGGCCATTTGCCATTGTTATTAGGAAGAAAGGCATGGCACAGTGAGAGTTTTAACAAATTACAAATGCCATGAAGGAAATAATATGGCTCTGTTTGAAAAGATCATGCTATTTACTTGATAGCTTCTGCCAAGGCAAAGTTACAGCTGTGGCCCTGCCTTGCAGATCATTTAAACAAGCTTTTCTTT